TGGGAACCAAGCCTTCTAGCTAGAGAATGAAATTACAAAAACTGGCAGCACAGACTTTCGGAAACTGTTTGAAAACATTAAAATAGAATAGGACAGCACTCATTTACTCAACGATACTCATCAAACAAAACAGAAAGAGGATTCAGCTTGACCACTTAGGAAGCCAAAGGAATGTTATCTAGATCTCTTGGAGGCCACCAGACTCATCTTACAGATGGGAAGGGCTTTGAATCATTGTCCTCCTTTATCCAGGCAGACACCAAAAACGATTTTCTGCAAACTAACGACTCTCCAGTCAGTCTGCAGGATTCTTAGATCCAATATGCTGCATGCTTAATATGTGTTCAGAAAGACCTTGCACAATTGCTCAGGCTTATTTTTGCTCTAAGGACAAAGGAGGAAAAGTAAGGCCTAAGACAGGTTGGAACAGGTATGTCAACCTCATTAGGATGGCCTGGGGGGTCACGTCCCTGGAATCGGTGCCACTTTGAACTGCAAAGGAACCTGCCAACCCTGCATCTGGAAACCACTTTTGTAGGACAGCTGCTCTCTCATTCCTTTTGCTTAGATCATAAAAGTAGAGTTTTCATCCATTGGGAATTTGTGTGTTACAGGCAAAGGGAATCAGATTCTGATCCAACTTGGTCAGGAAAAAAAAATAATAATAATAAGGGCTGATTTTTCCATCCAAGTCATGTAGTCTGGTTGGAGTGCATCCCACTCGGGGACAGCTATTGTCTGGATTCACTAAGTCTCAGTCTTGCCCAGGAAAAAGGAATTTTTTGCCTCACTGCTCTATCCTTGAGAAGAGTTGCAGAAGGTGACCATTTCTGTTTTCTGGGTGATTCTTTCTCTATAGAAATCCTAAAGTGGAACCTTTATAGAAATTATGTTCTGTGCTTCACTGGACAGAGACTGGTCTTTTAAACCAGGCTCATCAAACAGTGGGCATTTTCGTTTCCCTGAATAATAAGTGTTGGTGGGTTAATGGGTCATCCTCAGGACAGAGGTCAGAAGGAAAAACACTGCAGTGTTCAAAGCTGGAGCTAGAAATGCCAGCCGTCAAAAAACACAGAACTCAGTGGACGGTGATGATGTATAGGGCGTGCACTGGCCAACCCCATCTGAGAGGTCACATCTAACCTTTATCCTCAGCAAAGCCACTGAAGGTCGCTCAATATGTGTGACCTGCAACTCTGAGGCCCTGGTGAGAAGCTGTCCAGGAAAACGCTGGTGCGTGTGCTAGAGGGTTCCTTTTCACTAAGGGAGAATTGTCTTCCAGCTCCTTGTAGACTGACATCGCGAAGTACTTTGAACGTTGAAAAGAACAAAAAAAGCAAACAGTCACACACACACAAAAAGGAGGCGGGAGGAGGGGGAAAGAAAAAGGGACAGAGAGAGAGAGAGAGAGAGAGAGAGGTATCAGCAGGGGTGGTTAGTAAAAAGGGGCCCGGAGACAGAAAACCTTTTGTTCCGGGAGTTCGTTTCATGTAGAGATTGTGAGGTGAATGGCTTTGAAACGAAATGGGTTTATGAAGGAGTTGCTAGATCACAGGAAGCGCGACTGTCAGACTGCTTTTGTGAATTCAGTTTCTTTAAAATTTGGGTTAATCTTAAAAAGAATGTATCCCCTTTTCCTGTTCTTTCTCTTTCTTTCTGTCTTCTCCTTTGGCGGGGGCGGGGGGACAGAGTAAGGTTCAAGACGGCTCCCCACTTTCTGTTTTATTTTCCACCCTCTGATAAAGCAAAAAGACGAGATCACATTACAAGTTCTTTGTCAGTTTTTCAGAATTAGGGGTGGGCAGGGCCTGAGCATTACCTTGTCCCACTAGCCAATGGCGGGGCGGCATGCAAATGAGGTCCGCGATCAGCCTGCCTCAGTCACAACAGTGAGCTCAGAGACTTTGGGGAGGCGCTGCGACTGACAAGCGGCGCTGCCCGGGACCTTCTCGATTTCCTCTAGCGCTGCACTCAATGGAGGGGCGGGCACCGCAGTGCTTAATGCTGTCTAACTAGTGCAGGAAAACGGCTCAACTCAACGCCGCCGAAATGAAGTATAAGGTAAGAGAGTGCCTTTTACAGGTTTCCTTGCAAGCTGAAGGCTGTGCCTGCGGGTGTGTGCGTGTGTGTGCGTGTTCCCTACTGTGACAGTCCCTTGTGCGTCCGGAGAGTTCTAAGATGGGTCTGGGTCACTGAGGTTGGCATGTAAGCAGGCAAGCAAAGACCCACTCCAGGGGTTCACAGTACTCCCGAGTCCAGCTGCTCTGAAAGTTGCCGGGGAAATACCTCGGTGAGAAGTTAAGACTTGGAGCCGCTTCACAGCAGCCACTGGAGACCAGAGGGTGTCTGACTTGAATCGCGGCAGGCATTGGCTCAAGTCTCCTCGGCTTCCCCAGGCCTGGCTTCCACTGCCCTGGGGAGCAGTAATAAGGGAGGAATGAGGACTGCATAGTCTCTCTCAGACTGGCTCTTAGTGCAAAGTTTTCCAGCCTTTCCTTTAATCGTTTGGTCTTGGAAGGAGCATGCCATATGCACTTTTGGTGGGAGAAATTGAAAACCCAGATTACACAGCTGAGGATGGAAAAGGTTGACATCCTTATGTGATATTGGATGTAGGAATAAATAAGTATGAGCCATTTCTTGAAAACATTTTTATTGGAGTTTGAATGGGGTGAGAGTGTGACGGCTCAGGCTGGCTCACTGCCTGAAAGCTTACCGAGTGTCATAGTCATAGTACTTCAGCAGCGTTATTTTCCAGTGCATTTTACACCATTGTTTGTGTATTTTTCTTGCCAAAAGGATTTTTGACTTGCTCCATATATTCCCCCCTCCCTTTTTTTTTTAAGTCACTCCCATCTAAGGAGGCAAGCAGCTTCCAGGGGACACAAAGAAAGCTGACTGCAATGAATTGGGCATGGATTTTTCTTGAATGATGAATAGACATGAGTGCTAGTGCTACTATTTTATTTTATGCTATTTTAAACAAAAGTGTTATTATTAAGATGGATTTGGGCAAGGGTGCTAGGCTTTTGGATTGACAATTTATATTAACTGTACACTAGCTGGAAGCTACTTTGCTTTTTTTCTAAATTTTTCTGGTCCATCCTTTTTTGATGTAAGGTTGTAAATACTTGGTCTAGCTGATAGCCACTGACTAGCCTTAATAATAAAGCTTTTGTTCAAAAACTGTGAATCTTATTCAAAAGCTTTAAATCTAAATGTCGAGAGTCTTTATTGTAATGCCTACATTACCACTGTCTGAAGACACAGGTATCAGCTATTTCTGTTTTATCAGCTATTATCTTCTTCAGTAGGGAAGATCAGAGGAAAGGGTCATCCTGAAGACTATTAATATTGACTTTAGGATGCAACCAGAAACAAATCCCTCTACCTGGCAGGAAAGTTATCTTTCTTAAAGTGGGTCACCCCATATTTCCTTATTTAGAACAATGATAGGACCAGATATTACTCAGCCTGGAGTGACTTTTTTGCTCCTCCTTTCCTTGTTGTTGAATAAGAACTGGCTTGCAGAATAAAAGAGAAAGTATGTTCATGTGTCTATTATTGGAAAGTATTAATGGCTGAAATTAACATTGAGTGCCGTAATCTAGAAAGTGACGAAAGTGACAAAGTCTCAAGTCACTTTTGTTCAATGATCTCATCGTGTTTAGCTTTACTCTTTATGGAAAGAAAATCTAAAGGCAACCGATAAAGTGACTGACAATGTAAACTGCAATTGGCATTCATGGAGAAACCTGCTTCTCCACTGGGCCTTACTGGTGCTGAACACTATGCCAAATGATGTAAACACACGATTTTTATCAGCCTGTGGGCAACTTCACCAGCAAAGAAGCTAACTTCTCTGACCAGTCAAATGACTTACGCCCTATGATGACTACTGTATCAACCAACAACTGAAGAAATCCACTTTCCTTTTTCATAAAGTTTTCTTTCTCTCTCTTTAATAATGAACAGCTTTACTTCAGGAAAGGATTTTCTTATTGTAAGTAGAGGAGAGACACAAAGGTAATGACGTAACATTAATTGAGACTTACTGTGACAATACAAGATTGTCATATTCAACTCTCCCAATAGCTCTATAAGGGGGATATTATTTTTATACTCAATTTCAAATGACACAGAGAGGCTAAGTAATTTATCTAATGCCACACGGCTAGAAAGTGGTGAGCTGGGATTAGAACTAAGGCGATCTGGCTCCAGAACTCATGACTTGAACCACTATTAAGAGAAAGAACCATCGTTGACCTCTCTAAAATATGGCTAGTGTTTTCTTTTCCCAGAAAGTTTAAGACTATTTCATCCCAAGTATTCCTGCAGGATAATTTCTTTTTAAGAGAGTAGCTCTACAAAGTAAAATGAAATGCACGCTTGGCAGGTATTTGTTTAACTTGAGCCACTTAGGTAGTAAAACCAGATAATTATTAGATTGTAAAATCCCGGAGACAAGAATTATCTTTAAAATACTATGTTGCTCTATGTACTGTAAATTTAGCACAGATCTTAAAATGTTCACTGAAAGACTTATGAATCAGGCCCTATAAGATTTTTTGTCCTTGTTAACCTGATTATCTGGTTTGGCTGCCCCAGGGATCACAACTACAGAACGACAAACCTTCACTTATTTTGCACTTAACATACACAGCTTCAGGCCAGGCAGCAACATACTTGCAACAATCCTGAGAACTGTGGAACGTAAGCTATTATTCCGGACAGACATTTCTGGTTAGTACATATCTAGTCTGTCTTTATTTCCTTATATGTTTTTTATTTGTCCACAGGAAGGTTGCAGTCACTGTCATATGTACTTAATTTTCCATTTCTCTTAGAAGGGATTCAGCCTGTGGTTATGTGATAGTAAATTATGGGGGCTTCATTTATTAAGAGTTTTCTACAAAATCCCCTTCACATACAGAGCATGTTCTTAATTGGGCGGGGGCTGGGGGGTTAGGGGATTGCCTCGATGGCCTTGGTTTGCTTACCCAGTGAAGGCTGCTCCTTAGGGTCTGGAGGTGGATGGTTGTGCTGTTTGCCGGGAGGGTGATGGAAGGGTCTCTGAGCAACTGTGTTTGAGCAGAAGCCCCGAGAACCCGCCCCGTTTGTGCCTGCCAGGCCCGAGGCCCCGCCCACCTCAGGCCCAGCCCTGGCCGGGGCTCAGCAGCCACTTGGCCTGGCTGCTAATGGCTGAGCAGAGATGCTTCTGTGGCTTTGCCAAATTTCTGAGCCCTTACGTGCCTACATTAAAATTCTAAATTATTTATCTCGTCTACCATACAACAAATTCATTCTTTAACGTTTTGACTGAAGAAAAATTACAGACGGAGCTTACAATGCCATTAAGAAAGCTGCATTCCGAAAGTCAGAGCCCTGTGTTCTGGTCGAATGGAGTAGGTCAGGGAAAGGAGAACGTGTGTGCTGAGAAACCGTGTGCTTTGGAAGGGACTTTGAAAGTATTCGTATTTTCTCAAGCAAGACTGAGGAAAATAATGACAGACAGTCTTTGATTTAGTCAATATGGTCATGTATAACCTATAAAATTCCCAATTATTTCCTTGCTTTGATATTTTGATTTAAAATGCTTTATTTTTCTCTATATGATTTTTGCAACCAATCCAAATGTAGGACTCCTGCCCTTTTCCTTTTTAAACCTTGTATGAGATCTATAGATTTAAAAGCACTAAAACTTGCTTTGAAAAATATCAACTTGGTTATTTATGTATTTATGCATTTATTTATTTATTTGTTTATTTATTTAGCAAACCCATTTGCAGAGCTAAATGGCTTAACTGCACAGAGATAAAAGCCTTTAGAGAACTGAAGGTGCCTGATAATACCAAATTTAGCAAGTTGCACAGTGCGTAACATACCAAGGATTCCTTTAGCATCCTTTCCTTGCTGGGATACACGTCAGTCCTGTTCTCAGAATTCAGTGACTCCCTGTCTCTCCCTTCACTCCAGTCTTCTGAAAAAAACACCTTCCTCTCCACTTTTCTTTTTTTCTGTTTTTGATGTTGAGTCTCACTCTGTTGCCCAGGCTGGAGTGCAGTGGCACCATCTCAGCTCACTGCAGCCTCTGCCTCCTGGGTTCAAGCGATTCCTCTGCCTCGGCCTCCTGAGTAGCTGGGTTTACAAGTGCCCGCCACCATGCCCGGATAATTTTTGTATTTTCAGTAGAGACGGGTTTCACTGTGTTGGCCAGGCTGGTCTTGAACTCTTGACCTCAGGTGATCCACCTGCCTCAGCCTCCCAAAGTGCTGGGATTACAGGTGTGAGCTACCACACCCGGCCTTTTTGCAAATTTCCTCCCTCTTTCGTGCTTTATAACCTCACCAGTTCTTCTTCTTCTTCTTTTTTTTTCTGCTTCTTCTTTTCAGGCTTTCTTTATGCTTCTTTAATACTGACTTCGGTAGGTCTTACTTCCAACCCGTACTCCCCAGGCCCCTCACCGCCACCTGTCTATTGCTGCCCCCTCGCCCCCGACACATGGATGTGACATCTTTAATGCACATCCTGTAGCCCTCATTTTTCCTTCTCCTTAGACTCTGCTATGGGAAATCCTGGTTCGCTGCCCGCATTTATCTGCCTGTCTCTTTGTGCTTGCATGACTTGAGAGGCCCGTCAGTCTCGCTAGTAAAGTCTCCTCATCCAGCCACTCTGTTTAAACAATCAGACTCTGAAACCTTTGTCTCCTGGACTGTCCTATAATCCCTAAAATAGGCTGTTATGTTTTTCCTCTGCCCTACTCTGTTAGCACTACCTTACTTATTAACCTCTAAGGATCATTATCTAAAGGATACATGTAACTCAGATAGGTTGCCTACTGGGCCTGTTTAGTTTTAAGTAAACCCCACTGAATATGAGAGACCCACCCTTTATTTGTACGTAGAGGCAGATTGATCGAAAAGTCCTTGAATAAAAAGCATGATCTAGGGTCTGTGAGGTTTTGAGGGGGCTGAGACTTGGTCTTTTATGCTCTTGTATTAGAGACATGATAGCGCATGGGCTTTGGAGAAAGGCATTTCTGTTCCTTATGGCTTATAGCTCTGTGACCTTAGGCAAGTTAAGCTCTCTAAGCCTCATTTTACAGCATTATCTGTAAAATAGGGATAAGAATAACTGCCTCATACTATTGTTCCAAGACCTGAGATAATATATGAATGAAGTACTTACTATGGCTCTTGGCATATAGTAAGCAGACAATGCTAGCTGGCTCCAGTTCTCTTTGTATAGTAGATGCTCAATACATGTTGAAAGGATGGTGTGTACTCAAGACTTGGTGACAGAATTATGTCAAAATCCCAGTTGCTAGGTTGAGATGGCTGAGTATTGTTGAGTATTCCCTGGGCCTGGATGTGTATTGTAAGCATACGACCCTAATAGCATATAGCCCCGCTTGCTAAAATTCTTTTGCCTTGGTTCCTTCATTATTGTTCATTGGACTCAATATTCCTGAAATTATAAGCCTTTGCTCACAGGAGATAAAATGTATACACGAATAGCCATTTAAGAAGATCTTAACACTATATGGCATAGTAAAAAAAAAAAAAATTGGACTTTCTTTCAAATCCCACTTTTGTTACTTTCTAACAGTATAATTTTATGCAAGCTACTTTAAACCCCCTTTTCCTCATTTATAAAATGGGAATAATACCTGTCTTATCAGATAGTTATAGGATATATGACAATTGTCCTTTCCAGCAGATAGTAGGCATTTAATAAATGGCAGCTATTATAGGATGTTATATACACATACACACAAAGATATACAGATATATAAATATGGAAGTTTTATATAGATAAAAGTTTAAGAGGAAACATTCACTAGAATTGTTTACCCATAACACAAATATCAGTGAGGAAAAGAGAAAGGCATCAATTTGAAAAACCAAAGGTAAAATCCAAAGAATGTAAGTTGGGAGTACATGAGAAGTTCAGGGTAAAATCTCTTATCCAACCGCAGTCAATTAGAATGACATAAATGTAAAGTAAGAGGTCTTGGTTGTCTATGTTTAGATCATTTTAGGGTCAGAAAGAAATCAAAACAAATTGGTTTGAAATGCCAACCACTAGGACCAAGGCAATACTCTGCAGGAACATATAAGCTGAATTACCAGGACTTCTCACTAAGACAAATAAAACAGCGCCATTGGAAAGAAATACTATATTTCTAACTTAAAATGCCAGAGAGTAACTGACGGTTTCCTAGGTGATAGATGATTGCAAAGAGTACGGGCATGAAAAGGGGACACACACACACAAAAAAAAACCCTGTTTATACTTTGCCAACAACACCCCCTCCATCTTATTTACTTTGAACATTCCAGCCATCTCTCTGCAGTAATTCCTGCTGGCTAATGAGGACTCCACACAGCTAGGGAACATGACAGCCTGCAAAGGCCTATTTTCCAGAACAATCTGCATTTTAAGATAAGTGACCTTGTTGGTGACCTTTTCTACCCTTCGCTGGAAAAGGTGACTCTCTTAGAAGACAGTTTGACTAAACAATGAGATCTAGGTGAATGTGAGGAAGATAGAACAGGCACTCCAGAAATATGGATAGTGGTGGTGTTGAGGGCAGTTTTTCATGGTTGAGGTAGGGAGTGGAGGCAGCTCTCATGGAGATGTTAAAGTTGCCAGTGTCCAATACATATGCCTGGGCCCCACAATGGACTACCAAATCCCAGTTATTCTTTAAAAAAACAAACAAAAAAAACAGCTAGTATCTTTCTCCCTAATCCCCTCCCTAACCACTACTGGTGCTTAAATGGTGTCTAAGTAGGTAGTTCATGATCCTCAGTCAAAGCCTGGGTCCAGTGATTTGCAAGTGTCATGACTGTTGGCAAATCTCAGTCTTGCGAATTAGAATTCCCCTGATATGTCTCACATGTCAAGGTAATAGTTATACGATGTTGCCAAAAACGTCCCTCATGTGAAATGTTCTGTTTACGCCCACCGGAAACAAAGATTGAGCAACCATGAATATGTAAAAGTGAAACCATTTCAAGCAACAAAAATATTTGATAGCTATTTTGAAATTAATTTTAATTCCTTTTTTTAATGTGTGTGGGTGGTTGACGTGGGGGCAGTGGATGGATTAATTATCTGTGAAACCCAATAGAAAGTTGCAGTAACCAAAACACAAGTAAAGTTCAGATTTGAACCAGATCTCCTGTCTACTTATTAAGGCATTATACATTTAGATAACATGATGTGTCATTAATGTTTTTCCTCGTATTTTTTGGTTAGGCAGAAACCTTGTGCTATCACTTGGTAACTGTGAGTTAGCCTTAACCTCAATGATTCATAATAGTCCATTTGTTTTCCTTAATTGAATGCCTTACTCCCACAGGAGATGAGGCTAACTGAGGACTCAGCTAGAGTACTCTTTAAGAATGAGCTGGGCTTATCTGCCCCCCAACACCCTCTGTCTCCCAAAATAACCATAACAGGCAAAGCCAGCACACAGAAAATGGCAGTAAAGTGGACTTCTAGACACTCCAGCTACTTCTGAGTCTTTAGTGTCAGGGCACGTCAGTCATCTGTCGATTAGGTTTTTTTCTCCTTTTATTCTTTGGTTCTTGTTACGAGTCATTGTGGCATGACCGAGAGTTTGGCAGGAAATGGGTTCGTGGACCCTCAGTGCGGCGGCGCTAGCACAGCAGCGTGGGCCTAGCAACATGTCGAGCCCTCTTTCCCTTGCGTGCTCCCCTGGGGAAGAAGTCCAGTGTTATCGCCGCTTCCCTGACCCTCTCCACTCAGAGCCCAGCATGACAAGCACACCTTTAAATGGTCTCGAGGAAGGGAATAGCAGAAATGCACGCAACCGGATAGCCTCCTTTCTCTTAATAACCCCTGTCACTGTGGAGCTGGACTTCTAGGCAATCTCACAGAGGCCCAGAGGCCCTGGAATAGATCTCATTTCCTTACAGAGATCACCTTGTCAATTAGAGAACACATACGTTGATTGAATCTAAGATTCTTATCAGTGCCTAGCACTTTTTCTCCCAAATCGGAAATTCAACCATGGCAGATCCATAATCAAGAAACATACTTGCATTCCCATCCTTTGTTGTTGGTTTCAAAACTATTTCTTTTTTGTGAGTATGTATCCATGCTTTACAAACCAAA